GCCGAAAGGTTCCGTTTGAAAAGAGTTAAATCTCAAGGTCAGTATTCCGCCGCTCTCCCAGGAATATTGGCTCGACAGGATCGCTTTCGCAGGTGATGAACTTCATCTTATTTATATCAGAACTATTTGATGACCAGTCAATAACCATGCCTGAAGAAATTATTTAAAGAATCTTGTCATAAATAGTAATAGTCATGTGGTTTAACCATGTACTGCTCAAATTATTTTGAAATAAATAATGACAGGGCCAATATATGTCAGAGATACCTACCTGAATATGACAGATGCTTAGAAGAGTCTGGCACTTCCAATACATAATAGTCCATCATTGTCCACACTGCAATAATAATAGTAACAAGAAAAAGCCGGCAGTATTTGAGAGTTTGGAGAACGTTATTTGTGGAATCGGTTAATTTAATAAAACAAATAGCACAACACAAATTTTAGGGATGTTGATAGTAAAATTTTCTATGTAATCTGATTGAATTATTAATAAAAAATAATAACGGTTTTTTCAATTATTGTGATAAGTTATTTAAATCTTTCCTATTAAGGAAACCTCCATAAATGCAACATAACACTCGGTACTTTAGACGTTGCATTTATGGAGGTTTTACTGTATTTATTGTTTTTTCTATATACTGGCGACTACGAGAACGACAACACAAAGCTGTAAATTAGTTATATCATAGCTATATTCTCTATCTTAACCAATAGTTCCTCCATCAAATCTCACCACGTTCATTGATTGAGTTATATCTTGGATTCACACTAATTCGCTAGGTTGTTCAAGATGCTCTCTCCTCACCCAATCAATAGCGTCCACATCGCTCCCGAGTTTCATCAGTTAACTTCCATGCGCGATCGAATCCGCATGGTTGGTTTGGATTAAGAAGATCAGGGTTTGGATGTGTATTGTCTATGCTACCTAATGAAGTATACCTGTAAGATGCAAAATGACGACATACTAACTGATCAGTCGTTTTGGACCCCAGCAAGGAATGTAAGCACAAACTATTACTTTCTACTTACCCTAAATCATATAATTTACAGTATGGCACTTTGAGTCTTCTAAGAAAATCCCATACATGTGTATAGTTCCAATCGAGGATAGGATATATCCGCATAAACGGTGGCCACCCGGGATCAGTTGGAATATTATCCTTCAAACGTTCTATCATCAAAAATTCATTATTCTCACATTTACAAAGCCCCCACCCTCTTGCAAACGGCCTTACTTCTTCGCCATTTCCATACCTCCGTGCGGATCATTCCTCCTAGTCCCAATCAAGATGGCCTTAACACTTGGCCTCTTTTCCAAGTACACACTAAGAGCTTGCTTCATGGGTCCCTCTATTGCGATCAAGTCTAATCCATACCGTTTTATTGTGCTCTCAACAAATTCTTCCACCTCTGGAAAGGGATTTGGTTGAGTTATGTAGACAGTAAGCAATGCGGACGAAGACGACGAATAAGATGTATTTCTAAGCAATACAGCAGCATAGAGGTGAAGGAGAACTGTACAATCTTTTCCTCCATTGAATGCCAAAGATAGTCCCTTTGATCTAGCGTAGAAAAAGTAGGCAGCACACAATTGCAGTAAGTAAAAAGTAGCTTTAGTCTTCAACAATGTGTAGTACAGCGACAAACTATACCCATAACGTTCAAGTCCATCTTCAATAATCTTGAGCGCACGTCTAATAGCTCTCCCAAGTTCACTATCCTCCTGAGCAAGCTCATAAACTTCATTCAAATGATTTATAAATGCCATTGGGTTAAAGATGATTATTATTATGAACACTGAACCAACTGATGATCATAACCTATGTAGGGATTCCCCTGGATTATTTTTATAGTCGATAATTTCGACACTTTTTTCTGACACTTTTATACACTAATCCAAATTAGTCCATTTGTGTTAATTACCCTTTGACGATGATTTATAATAAAACGTGTCGGAATTATTTTTCCCGGGTTCAAGTCTTTGATTTGTCATGTGGTCTGTATTAATCCAATTTCTGTTTTAGTCAACATAATAATCAACTGAACACTTTACATTTTATAGTAGGCTAAGCTCGAGTGACACATCTACTGCTAACATATCGTTTCTGATTCTTCCTTGTGACTTTATCTTGAGTAGGAGGTCCTTCTCCCTGCATTATTGCCAATTCTACCATCCAAAGTACCAGAGCCCAACACCTTAATAATCATTTACGCTCTCGTTTCTTGGCTGCTTACCAAATAACGTAAGAATGGCCAAGATGTATTCAAGCTACCAATTACCTCATTTAAACAATGCTAAATTTGTCAAAACTGATCAGCGATTCTAATAAACGGCTAAGCAGTCAGGAAAAGATTCAGCAGCCGAGAGACGTATGTCCGTTCTATTTCCTCTTGTTTTATGTCTATTGTAGAACAACGTAGAGACGATATTGATGCACTGTGCCTGGTTTGTTGCAGTCTGCCCCATTAGTCTTGTCTGAGAGATCTTTTTATACATAATACTTCATACATGTGAATAACAAAGAAATCTACCAAGCAATGCGACAATCACATTGGCACCTATTACAGCAAACAACATCAGCTGTTTGTATTATGTAAAAGAGTTATATTGTAGATGTCCACTCTGAGGTTCACAGATAACCCCCCACCTTTGTTATGAATTAGAAATGATCAGGCAAAGTTCGTCTTTACGGATGGACGCCTTGCTTATAAATATCCCTTGGTAGGCCAGGTGCAATAATTTACAATTAACCATCACTCTAATAAAAATTTTGAAGTTACCTGTGATAGTGACATTATTAGTAATATATTTCTACCGCTTTGCAGATTGGCATCTATCCCCCCAAGTGTGTATCAATCAATCGAACCAATCCAAGAACAAGAGGACGAAGCTAGCTAATATCAAAAATATCAAAATTCCTTTTCGTGCGTCGGATGCTCGTTGACGTGCTTTTGTCAACATTTGATTGCCCTCTCGCACTCTCTCAGACGTAGCTACAGCTTCGGCATACAAACGATCCGTCTGTTGCGTTTGTACAGCCAAATGGTTAGATAAGACGGATTGCAGCGTCGATATTTCCATTAACGCTCTTTCTGCTTGGCTGTTGAGGAGAGAAACAGCATATTAGTAAATCAAGCAACAAATTAGAATGCTATTGGTCTATACACTTACGTCACTTGATCAAGTGTAGTCTCTAATTCTTTTAAGATTGACACGTTTTCCATATCCAACATCATCTTTTGTTCAGCCGACAAACTTTCTTCAAAGTCATCTTCCCTTCCATCAATAACGACGTTATTGGTCTTACTTCGAACGTCCTTTTCACTGTCAACATCGATTAAAGAGGGGGAAGCCGATGGAGCAGATTTCGATGCTGGCTTGTACAGAACGCTTGCATGACATAAGAACTGTTAGATCGTCATTCAATGATAATTGCCAAAATGACTGTGGTAGTACCTTTCACGCTTTGCTAGCTCCTTCATGATTCGTGCTTTCTGTTGATCTTTCTGTATCTTCGACACTTCGGTTAGTTTCATGTTCAAAAGCCATATTATGCTGCTTCGATGTGCTGCCAATAGATCGTGTTCTTCTGGGAGCAGGGCTGTCGGTAACAGCATAGACAGCGGATTATTCAAATGCGTGTTCTGACGCGCTGATAAGACGATATGTTAACATGAATAAAATGCAAGAAAGTTTACAAAGCACAGGAACCAACTAGGTACCGTGTTCGGATTCTTCTAATAGTTTAATTCGGTCTAAACATTGTTGAATTATGGTTTTGGCATGTAAATCAATCTCGTCTCTTTCTTTGTCAGTGAGAGTATTAACCGAAGGTTGATCAGTCTGATTCTTCCAAGTAGATGCTGAATTCGTGGACTTCACCGAGCCTATTGAGTGACGCGATAGGTTGAGATATGCTCGGCGAACAGAAAGCAGATACGTCCTCAAGTTGCTTATGTGTGATGCCTTTGATTGAACGTTTATTATAAGTTCATGCAAAGGGCAACAAGCTCCACTGAGGTACAAGCGTGCCGGCCATCAACTTACTATTTGATAAGCTTCTCTGGTAAATTCATTCTGAACAAATTTTGGATTCTTCTTCACTGGAGGTAGTATATCTTCACGCGTTTTCTCATCCTGTGGTCCAAGTTCATTCAATATCTTACGAAACTCGGGTGTAATATCCACCATGCTCACTATTCAACCGATACGGATGTCGATATAGTAATTAGTTAACAATCGCTTTCAATGGGAACGTTACACAACATTATTTTATTGCTGCGTATGGTGAAACACGCAGGAAGCGCCACTCCGCCCAATGGGTAAATCATTTCCTTTGTTTACTACCTATACTCCTTTCTTACCCTTACGATTACCAATCATAAGACATTACGTCATTACGCTCGAATGTTCTAGCCATGTCAAAATGAACACAAGCCTAAATTTAGTTAAACAATCATGCCATGCTCATCCTTATAAAAAGGAGTTCTCAGGACCCGCCTCCGTTTTACCTGGCTCTTTTTCATTTGGGTTTCTTCTCACAAACGACCGTCGTATCTGCCACCACGATAGTTTTTTCAGAACACAACATCAAAGCACTTGAAACTTTTTCAAAACACTACTATTCCAACAAGTAAACATGCAAATCTTTGTTAAAACACTTACCGGAAAGACCATTACTCTCGAGGTCGAATCCTCGGACACCATTGATAACGTCAAACAAAAGATCCAAGACAAAGAGGGTAAGTTCCGTTCTGATAGAAAGTCGTGAAAAAGTTGTTAACGCTCGCTGCGTGTAGTTACCTGCTGGTATAACGTAGTCGTTATGGTAAGAAGCTGACTATTTTGTTTCGTGTCATAGGAATCCCTCCTGACCAGCAGCGTCTAATTTTCGCCGGTAAACAATTGGAGGATGGCCGCACCCTCGCCGATTATAATATCCAAAAAGAATCAACCCTTCATCTTGTGTTGCGTCTCCGTGGTGGCATGCAAATATTCGTAAAGACCTTAACAGGCAAGACCATCACCCTCGAGGTTGAATCATCCGACACCATCGACAACGTTAAGCAGAAGATTCAGGACAAGGAGGGGATTCCCCCAGACCAGCAACGTCTTATATTCGCCGGTAAACAACTAGAGGATGGTCGCACCCTCGCCGACTATAACATCCAGAAGGAATCTACCCTTCATCTCGTATTGCGTCTACGTGGTGGTATGCAAATTTTCGTAAAGACCTTGACAGGCAAGACAATAACACTCGAGGTCGAATCCTCAGACACTATCGACAATGTCAAACAGAAGATCCAGGATAAAGAGGGCATCCCTCCGGATCAGCAACGTCTTATATTCGCAGGAAAGCAGCTCGAGGATGGTCGTACGTTGAACGATTATAATATTCAAAAAGAGTCCACTCTTCATTTGGTTTTGCGTCTTCGTGGTGGTATGCAGATCTTCGTCAAGACACTCACGGGCAAGACGATAACGCTGGAGGTCGAGTCCAGTGATACGATTGATAATGTCAAGCAAAAAATTCAGGATAAGGAAGGTATTCCTCCAGACCAGCAACGTTTGATCTTCGCCGGCAAGCAGTTAGAAGATGGTCGTACCTTGGCCGACTATAATATTCAAAAGGAGTCTACCCTCCATCTTGTTTTGCGTCTCCGTGGAGGTCAATAGCCTTTCTCCATAAATTAGGCCCCCGTTACGAACGCAATAACATCTGGCCGGCTTATTTTATTTTCTTAATATGACCAATGTTTGTATTGAGTTTTACTAAACAAAAATAAAGAACAAATAAAGTGAACGCGGATTAGCCGTCAGACATAAACTTTGTCTTTTATTATTATACGTGTGATTATATCTGTTCTTGCTTTTGTATTAACATGGATGGATTGTTTTAAATAAAAACGAAAACCGAATTTAGATTAGTTACCAGGCATAAATTTGGTTTGTTCAGTGAATGGAATTTCTATCTGTCTTGCTTTCTCAACTTATAATCTTTGCCCGCAAAAGTCCCCATGTCACCCAGTCCCATATCTAAAAGGGATCTGTTACGTCATTGCTTTGTGCGCAATTGTCTTTAGCTGCCAATATTCCCTAACTAAAGCGTAAAATAATGACGGCAGAACCAAACGGAGCCGAAGAAGAAATTACAATCGAGGCGAAGGAAAAAGCCGAAAAAGCAAAAGAAGAGGCAAATAAGCTGTTCCAGGGTATTTGGAGTTACGTTAATCTATCCCATGTTTTTTGTTTACGAAGAAAATTGTCTAAAGGACCTTGGCTTGCTATGTGTACGGATTAGCCAAGAAATTCGAATCAGCTATTGAGAAGTATACTCTAGCAATAGAATTAAACCCGAATGTTGCGGTATACTATGCGAATAGGTCGTTTGCTTATATAAAGACTGAGGCTTACGGTTTTGCTGTCGCAGACGCGGACAAGGCCGTAACCATCGATCCTTCTTATGTTAAGGTGACTATCATACGGAATAGGTTTACTTTCACCATTTGATTCTGCGGAAACAATACAGACACATGTTCTATCTATTCTTTTCCGTGCAAACAGGGCTACTATCGAAGAGCTGCCGCCAATATGGCTCTTGCCAAATTCAAAGACGCGCTTCGTGATTTCCGAATAGTGAGTAGAATAAAAATTAACCAGATCATTATTGATATGTTATAATACTCATAAGTTTATTTGATACCTTTTATTAGGTCGTTAAAAGCGCTCCTGGTGATAAAGATGCCAAAGCAAAATTGGTTGAATGTGAAAAGATAGTTCGCAAAGCTGACTTTGAGCGTGCAATTACGGTAAATATCGTCATGTCCATTGCTCCTTAAGTTGTTGATTTTGTTAACTTGAGTGGTGTGTATACCTGATCCAGGTAGATACTTCGAAGAAAAGTATAGCTGATACGCTGGACATAAACACTATGGGTATGTCGCAAATAAAAGTTTTTCCTACCGTTTTGTTGATTAATGCTTACTCACAAAATTATATTAGCGGTCGAACCGTCTTACGATGGACCTAAAATGGAGGATGACCAAATATCAAAGGACTTCGTTGAAGCCATGATGGAGACATTTAGCAAGCAGACAGTGGTTCACAGGAAGTTTGCGTTTCAGGTTTGAAAAAAAAAGAGACGATTCGTGTATATGTTGTAAACGATGTATTTATCTGATTCGATTTATGCAATTATTGTAACTTAGATCATATTGGCAGTGCGTAAGATGATGTTAGAGACCGAATCTTTAGTTGACATTACGATACCGCAAGATGCTAAGCTAACCGTATGTGGCGATATTCATGGTACGTTATATGCTGATAGTAAGAAATATAGTTCTATTGATTATTGCCTTTTTCGCAACAGTCTTATGATTCCTTTATCCCTTAATATGTTTAGGTCAATATTATGATTTAATGAACATATTTGCCATCAACGGGCTTCCTTCAGAGAATAATATGTATCTTTTCAATGGTGATTTCGTTGACCGCGGCTCTTTCAGTGTCGAATGCATTCTAACTCTGTTTGCGTATAAGTGGTTGTATCCAAAGTCTTTCTTCCTAACTCGTGGCAATCATGAGACTGATGATATGAACAAAGTTTATGGGTTCGAGGGAGAAGTTAAGGCCAAATTCTCCCAGCAGATGTTTGAACTGTTTTCAGAAACATTTGCGACACTGCCACTGGCTCATGTGATCAATAAGAAGATTCTCGTGGTGCATGGAGGTCTGTTTAGTAAAAATGATGTGACTTTAGAGGACATCAGGAAAATCGATAGATTTAAAAAAAGACAGCCGGATTCCGAGGGAATAATGTGTGAGCTGCTGTGGTCTGGTGAGAAATTGACTAAGGTTTTGGTATTGCATTCGAATTTTTTATAGCGCTCAATACTAACTGTCATCCATGCTGATTTTAGATCCTCAATTGATGCCCGGTCGTGGTCCTAGTAAAAGAGGCGTCGGCATACAGTTTGGACCCGATGTAACGGAGGATTTCTTGAGACGCAATAATCTAGGTAAACTGATATGCGGGAATGCCGGATTTTTAGTTCGCAATGTATACTTGACTGTGTCTTAACTCTTCATATTTTCCAGATCTTCTCATTCGCAGTCATGAGGTGAAAGACAATGGTTATGTTGTAGAGCACAATGGAAAATGTATTACAGTGTTCTCTGCCCCTAATTACTGGTAAGTAGTCATTGGAAAGGTTGGTTTGAGCTATAGGTTATTAACAGACCATTTGTACTCGCCACAGTGATACTATTGGAAACAAAGGTGCGCTAATAAATATTACTCCAGACTTGAAACTGGACTACAAAACATTTGAGGCTGTGGTAAGTCTTACCATTGTTGCTAGTTAAACTGATTAACAGTGAACGTAATGATTATATTCACGTGCATTCGTCTTTAATTTGTTCTAGCCTCATCCTAACATAAAACCCATGGCGTATGCTAGTCAATTTGGTGGATTGTTTATGTAATATAGTTGAGGGTTTTATCAATAACATTGAGACACGTTTGAGACAATAAGGTGCACAGTTCGTTGTCTATTTGAATTATGGTAATATGATTTATTTTATCTTTATACATTGCACATCACACACGCACATATATATAGTTGAATAGAATTGACAATGGGAATGCGGTAGAAGTAGGTAATGAGAAGGGAATTTGATGTTTACACACCGCTCAGAGTGCAGACATTTTGATGACTACCATTAATGAAACATATTATTAAGTGCACATTAATAATCCTTTACTATGATTACTATCTTCTAAGGTATGTAGTAAGCACCTCTAGTTACCGGTAAATAGACGGAATATCAAGTATATACAGCTACCAACAAACCGGAATGCAGCCAGACCGCAGACTGACCATAGTACAAACGCCATGTAGAGATTACTTCTCTTTTGTTGTGGCACTATTGAATCAAGATTTGCGTTCGTAGTTGTTATGCCGACTACCAAAGCAGCATTGGATAGAATCCAAGCCAATACAACACGTGTACGGAATGCTCTGTAATAATCCTCTTGTTTAGTAGCGGCGTCACGTTTTTGTTGCTCCTCAACATGAGGCTGCCTGAGTACGGCTAATGCTTCGTCATACAAAGCATTAAGATCCTTCTGTTCAGTAGGCACTTCTATTTCAATAGTACCCTTGCCACTGGCCGTAACTGTACCAAGATCGTTTTTGGACGAGTTATCACCTTTTGTACCCCAACTGTAGTAGTAGAGAAACGTTAATTAATCGAATATTGTAGAGAAATATATATATCACGAACAAGACTCGAAAGAACAAGTACCTGACATCGTGCGTATTACAGAATGCGTAGACATTGAGAATGTTGACATAGAAAGGAACTAAGAACATGTACTGAATGAAACTAGTAAACATGTGCCATGGTTCAAAGAACAACGCACTGGCTACAAAGTACAAGCCATATGTGGATGCCAATGAAAGAACAATGTTGCGGAATGTTTCGTTTTGGAAGACGGCTGATATCGTACTGAGGTTAGCACCAGTAAGTTTTCCGTTCGTCTCTTCCAATGCAGCGTTCACTCCTTTCAACGTGAGCCATCCGGCAGCAAACAGCATGTAACCCATAAGACCAGCATAGAACAACATAGCAAAGGTATAGGACCACTTGGAGCTGGATCGCGATAAATTTTGTAAAAATTAGTTCACTGCATAATATAATAAAAAGCTTATTATATATATTACTTACCCCTGTGGTCTGTTACCCATTGACAAGATGAATGAAATGATAAGCAATGACAGATAAACATATCTTAAGATCTGGAAGACGAGATTACCAAAAGACGGATCCCATAACCCCTTGACCACCTGGGGGTCAGTTAGCGAGTTACCAAGGATATGGAAAGTTAAATAGAAATTACCCTACGCAATTAAAAGCAAGTATGTTAATATCGTACAATATCCATCGGTTGTAAAAAGCGAGCGATTATCTTGCAATCACGATAATTACCAATGCCAGCCACGAAAATGCCAAGTTGAATGTTTGATATGCCATTTCAACATGGAGAAGCAATTTGCGCAAGATATTGTGATCACTCCTCCACAGACTTAAAGTGTGGGCAATAGCATAAACACCAGCAAAAAATGAACCGTTCAACCATCTTCTTCTCTGAGAAATCAATTCTGGTACTTGATCAGGTACGTCTGTTTCTGCATGAGAGGACTTGACGTAATGCAATAGCCAGGCACAGTCGCGTTTAGCGACCAATTCGAAGCACAGGATACGGTCTTCAGCAAGATACATATTGGCAGTGAAGATATCGGCATCGGCTCCATGTTGCTTTTCGCCCATAAAGTACGATGCGAGAGGGCCTTTGCCATTGCGATCATTCTGCAGTGCAATATATCTGTAAGCAGAAAAGGCACCAGGCAATACTGTGATATAACCGAATACCGATTCGAGGGGCTTGTCTAAAATATTAGACATTTTGTATTCAAAGTTTTGACAAGCAACTAAAGGATTTAGAAGATTGACTCCGGCTGTGCCCTTCATAGCCACGATCTCGCCACAAGCACCGGCTATACTGGCGTTGATATCGAAAGCCTTCCATAAATGATAGATTGATGTTCCACCCGGTTTGGTACCAACATCTAACAAGACACAAACATTTGGATTCAAGACTCTTCCAAAAGCATTAAAGAACCATCTGTGCGAATTAATCTTCTTTGCGTTCTTTTCCTTTAAACAGAACAAGACTTGGACCGGCATAATTCCTTTGTTTGCTCCTTTGAATTTCATGTCTGGGTCGATTGACACTTGCGTTGTATATTCGTAAATATGAGCTGTAACGTGACGGTCGTTAACAGAGTTCTTGGCTACTCCATCTTGATAGACACCGATGGCGGCAAGATAGGAGAGAGTCTTAGGATTGATTTTTGTTCTACCGTCCGATACAACACAGACAACAACCTTTTTCCAGCCATCCTTGCCCCATACGCGAGAACGATCGCGAGTGCAGAGATGGGCTATGTTTTTTACGACACCATGGAATGTGCGAGCAAAGAGAACTTCATCTTCCTGTTTAGTAATGAAGAGGAATTAATGAGTACATGAAACTTGTAAAATGAGGAAATCTATTCCAAATATGGTTAACGGCATAATCGATTTAGCCATAAAATGCAATGCAGATGTTCATTTTTGTAAGCCTTACGTTGTACATAGTCAATACGATAAACAATTCCGTTGGTCTTGGGGGGCTGTATAATTGCTGCCTCAAAGTATACCTATCCTTCTTGAAGTTGTCGGGGTCACTAGTACAGCAAGTGTATCTCATATGCGTGAATTCTCTTTCGTCTTTCCTGGGAATGGCCTGAGACAATTTTGATGGAATGGGACAATCCAAAACCAAATTGCCCTGGAACAATTCAATCTGTTTAGTAGTCTTGTATCTTCTTTGTTGTCTTGCCGGAGCCTGACCGTAGTGTTGACCGTACTGGTCGCCGTACGCTTGCTGGTTCAATAGCGGTTGACGTGGAGTTTCCAACGGGGGATTGTATTGAGGTTCAACCGTTTGATTATATGAAGACTGCATTTGGGGTTGAAATTCGTGACTTGGCGGTGGTCGTTGAATGTAAGTGGGAGGGTATTGATGGACTGGTGAGTGGTTACCATAGTGTCCAGGTGGTGGTCCTTGATATTGAGCCATAATGACTGAGAGGAAGGAGAATTAAGGAAAGCGTGTGGTAGTTAAGAAAGACCTTTATCCGGCACTTTACAGTGTAGTGTCTTTCTGAATGAGTAGGGGAGGGAGGAGTGGTGGTCAAGGGATAAGTACAATAGTACTCAGAGGAGTGTGAGGGAAGCCGTAATGAATGAAAGTGTGATGTGATCGATTAATATGATTAACACTTCCGGGAATCCGAGCGGGTAAAGGGGAAGAATTGAGCTGACAACACGGGGGTGGCATGCGGTTTAATGGGTGTGGGTATGTCGTACATTCCGTCTTGGGATGACTCGTTGTTAAATTAGTAGTTAAATGTATTACCGTTATACATGAAGAAATCCGAGAACCAACAGATCAAATGTTACACGACGTTGTTAAATGCGTGATGGCCGAAAATGGAAAACCAATTAAATGCGACACTAGCTGATAAAGTATAAGCGCTATCAGTGAGGCGAATAATTGTTATTGTTTGATGCTGTAAGACTAGAAAAAGTCAATTTGGCAAGCTGAGTTTTCGTCTTTATTTGGCAAGCTGAGACACCAAACAATATCTTCCACTTACGTCGTGGCTTTTACGAAACAAGGAGAGCCGTTAGAAAATTTGCTGACACTAGTAGATTCTTGAGGGAACAATCAAGATTACGTCTTCGAAGCTAGTATCAATTAAATTTCGTGGAACCATATTTCTAATTCATTGGTTTATTCATAAAGATAATACTAATACTATATAATAAGTTGTTACATGAACGGATTAAAGAATTGTGCGGATTGTCATGCTGATCGGGGTTGTGGTCGCAGCTGTTTGCACCCACATACATTAACATATCGTTCAGCCAGAAAACTCGTTTATTGGGTTCTGAAACAGTATTCAATTGAATAAGTATAATAAACGCTTTTCTTGTCTCTGTTGCCCTATTGCATTCAATAATAACAATGTAACTTTTTTTTTCGCTTAACGCCGCTTGTCGATATCCATAGTTGTATAATAATAAGCATAATGGTCAGGTGATCCAAGCGCTAATATGCACTGTATATTAATCAATTGAGGAGTATACGTAATGATTAGTTTTGTACATTTCTTGGCACTTTGTCCATGATGCACGAGTCGCATGTTACACAAACCTAAGAGAATTGTACCCGCAACATTTATACATGTAAACCATATGCATAAGGTTCGTATGGCCATAGAATACTCGGTAAACAACACTATCATAATAAGGTCACAGTTTCTTTACATACACCCACCCAAATAAAACCTATATTATACGCATAACTGTCAAAAATCCAGTCCCGTCGAATGAGTACTTTTGGCTCTAATTTCGGAATGCAAATCTTGTAAAGTGAAATTGTTGCACAAAATTATACAGCAATCGACGGTTATCACAAAGTTATGATAAGCAGAAAAGAAGACTTATTCTCACATGACCTACTTTATTATGTCCGGAAACGTATAATTCTCGTCTAGGTGAGATATATTATTCCATCAATAAACGTTCGTCTTATGATTGCTGCACGGTTCCTAACAAAATAAATTCATGATATTTGGGTTATTTGTGCCGCAGCAGTGTCCATCTTTCTGTAATTAAAAGCCCAGGACTCTATTTTATTGGATATGCGAAGACATAACACTACCCAAGGGCAACTTGGACCAGCTTGATAGAGCGTTTACCTGCAAAGGATCACGTGTTAGTGTAACAACTTTGAAGCATAAACCGGCTCAAGCAAACGAACGTGCCGCAGAAATGGCAATCAATCTTCCTTCTTATCTGATAGATAGTCCGTTTGAAGCAATATTCAAACAATCTACTTCGCCACCATTGCCATCGGCTTGGAATCATGGTGATTCATCTATGTTTATACAAGTTGGAGAGAACAGATTGCGAGCCAAATATATTGGTATCTATTGTAATCGGAATGTATTATTATAAGCGTTGAAATTTCGTTTGCTAAAAGACTTATGCTAGGCCGGGGAAGAGATGACACTGAAGCAGCAGCTATTAGAACAGATTTTCCGATACCGCAAGAATGTGGATTGTACTACTATGAAGTCAAGATAATCAACAAAGGCGTGGGTGGGTAAGAACTGATAAATTTAATTCTTATTCAACGAATCTAACGTTGTAATGAAATCTGTGTAATATGGTTATTCATCACCGATCTGGCGCTATAAAATATAACGTGTAGATACATTGGAGTTGGTTTTGCAATGAAGCATGTTGCACTCGATCGTCTACCAGGTGTGTATTTTTATTTTTTTTTTTCTGTCTTGTCAAATCTATGACACACATATGTAAATATCAAAAGCTAGTTTTCGTTGATTTCATATACTTATTTCTTTCTTATGCCTGTTCTATCATATTCTTATTCTTATGCCGTTTGTTTTTATTTAATTCTCCTTTATATGATGAAAGGATGGGAGGACGATGCATATGGATATCATGGAGATGATGGGGCTAAATTTCATGCGTTTGGAAGAGGGACAGAATTTGGTCCGAAATTTACCACTGGAGATGTTATTGGATGTGGTATAAACTTCTTTAATGGCACTGCATTCTACACTAAAAATGGTATACACTTGGGTGAGTGAACTTACCAGCAAAACTAAAAAAGTAGTTTATATAACTAATAAGAATTATCAATGCATAGGTGTTGCTTTCAATGACGTTATAGGAGAGTTCTATCCAATGATAGGTTTGAGATCATTTCCTGAAACTGTTGAAGCAAACTTTGGCCAGGATAAATTCGTGTTTGATATTGACAAATATGCAAAGGTATGTTATGAGTAAGTTTCTATGCGTGGAATACTCATAGATTACAAATTGATTATCTTTCTTGATTTAACAGGAACTTTACAAAGAAGTGAATGAGGGAACGGATATATCAAGTACAATTCCAAATACTCCATAATTATAATATAAACAGTCTATTTTATGTACTATTATTTATTATTTACCTATTATAAATATTTACAGTTGTCAAAGTAAAAGTACCATTCATCTGAAAACCTTTGATTATTTTGGACTGAAATTGTTACAAATCAGATGATTATTACTATGAAATTTACTGCCATCATTATTATATATTAGTATTGGTGGGTTTTGCTAAATAAAAAAATGCCGATGCAAAAATAAAAAGACTGGATTGAGAAGGCCTTCAAAACATTTAGTATTAACATGTTAGTAATGTGAATTCATTGTACTAAAGCATGTAGAACCAGATTGTCAAGTTTATTATTTAAACATATTAATATTGATTATGATTATCAAAAACGTTAATTATGCTGACTCATTGCGTTTATAACACGAGAGTATTTGTATATAAAACTACGTATTATTATAAAATTAATACATTGAACAAAGAAAATTAGCAGACGAAATTGTCTTGTGACAGGAGATAAAGCTGATTATTGCAGTGTTTAGTGTTGACGCGACTGCTCATTGCATTTACAAATGTTCACGTGCCATATTCCAACAGGTAAGTAAATTTACTTAGTCCGCGTAAGTGTAATTTTTTGGTATTTTGGCGAACAAATTAATTACGTTCTCGACGAAGACGAAATTATAGGAAAAGGCCCTAATTATAGTGGTACGCTAGGCATGGTATTCGATGGAATAAAGAAACTGAATTGAGGTAAAAATACCTGCAATAATGCACGCATCTTTTAGCTTTCACAAAGGTAAGGCCTTTATCTATCTATTCTTGAACATTCGGCAGTAAAATGTTCTAGCATAACTCTTAATTGACTTAATAATAACCTCTTTTGGTAAGGAATCAATTAAAACAAAGGCTGAAGTTTCTCCTAACTTCAAGGCTTCCTTCAAAGATTGAACCGTTGAAAATATCTTTTCTATGTCTGAATGAGTCCATGGGTTTAATTTTTAAAGAATGAATCTTAGTAGGAAAAATATTTCCGAGACATAAATATGGCCAATTACCCACTAATAAATTTTGTCTTCATTTAATCAAATCATTTCAGTGTCTTTATAACGCATTAATTACTTACTGATTTAACTTAAGAACATCCAAGTTACAAGTACTGTGATTTACTTTATTTACAATTTTATTAATTAAAAAAAAACAACGTCTGACTAGTTATATTGACGAGATCTTGTAATAATAATAATAATAATAATAAATGAAAGTTTCGGTTGATTTGATATTAATAATGTCAAGTTTCAGTATAACAACGACCCTTAACATGCTGACTAAGACGTACTCACCAGACCTAAACGCTATTGAATGTTTACGGATCAAGCCTCTGGGATATGGAATGAGATCGACATCAAGTTTCGTTTGATACTCTGCCGTAGACGTGCTTGCCCATTGACCCAGTGATTACACTCGATCATGCAAGTCTTTTAGATATGAAAACGAAAAAGAGAAAAATCAATGCAATCTGCTTTTAGTCAAATACAAATAAAATTGCAGTAAACTTATGTTGTCCGATACCCGTAATAAGACATAAAAATGAATTATGTTGTATGCATCTACCATTTTGAAAGTCATTGATTAAGATTGCGTCAAGTTAACTTAGTGCAGCTTCCGTGCGATGCTCGGTAAAATGAACAAGCCATTACGCTCAGACAATATGTGTTGTATTAACAAATCAATTCTATTATAAAGCATAGATTTCTGAGGGTCCCAGTATCTATTGGGGATCAAGCTTTAGCTGCTGGTATTAGGATAGTGCTTGTGCGATAACTGTTGCCACTTCGCAGTTTCACATTACATTTTACGGTGAGATAAATGCATATTACCAAAGTTGTATTTTAATACCTTCGTTTCACATAATGAGAGCTTAGGATAGAGGTTCAAAGAAACTATCCTCATCATCATTCTCATCCTCTATTTTTATCGGATTACTTTCACTGCCAGCACCAGTCATACTAATTCTCCTAACATTTGTTTTCTTCTTAGTAGTAAGTATAACCTTGCTCCTACCAGGTTTACTATTACCAACACTGGTTCTCCTTGCAGTACGTGGCTTGACAACAACGTTCTCGCCGTCATCACCAGTTTGATTACTACTATTAACATCAACAGGGACACTATTAATAGTATCACCGTTATTAATATTGCTACCGCTGCTACTGCTGCTATTGCTACTATCGCTCCTACTCCGGCTGTTACCTTCTCTCTCGGCATCACCACTTTCCTTATCATCTGCTGAAGTACTCTTGGATCCTGATGCAACCTGTGAAGCAAAAGCCTCACGTATCGTGTATGTCGCATCGTCTCCGGGTTCCTCACCATTTGATCCACCGTTTCCTCCTTTACCTCTCCCTTTCCCCCGACCTCTACCTCTTCCCCTTCCTCGGCCCTCTCCACGAGGTTTGGCTGGAGATCTCGTTCCAGTCGGGCTGGTAGGTGTTTTTCTCGTATACGTACTACTAGAAGCAGAACTTACTCGCCGTGGAGTACCCAGAGATAACCTGGTACCACCCATGGCGAGGAACATGTCCAACGTTTGGGAAACGCGAGAAAGCTGGGTTCCATCAACTACCCAATTTATCACTGAGGTGCTCTCGGATGAGTTTTTGCTTTTCCTACCTTTTTTTTTTGTATTCTCGAAACGATCTTTGACCCATCTGTCTACCATGCTGAGGAACACCCATCCTTCGCTGGTTTTCTTATTTGCAAACACTTCCATACCCTTAGGATATAACATCTCATCTGTAGTAACCACGATAACCTTGCATCTCGCTCGGCTGATGGCGACGTTCCATCTATTCCTATCGAAAAGAAAATCCGATTCCCTTGCAATTTCGTAGACGTCCATGAAACCAAAGCATGCGATTACCATATCGCATTCTTGTCCCTGCATCTTTTCGGCCGTATTTATTTGGAGTATATACTCGGAACTGTTGAGGTATTTACTCATACGACATTGGATCGCATGTCGTTGGCGATGATGTGGCGTTACTATGAATAACGATGGCTTCCTGTCGTCTAGGATATGGGCAGACTCAAGATAGGCTTTGGATATTTCAGAGACAACGTCTGCTTCTGCTTGGAGATATTGTTCAGGAAGGAGACTAGATTGAGATTTATGTGGCGACACTGGAAGATCGAGAGAAAGCTTCACGAGTGTTATAGCGTTGGTTGGAGTTAGAGCTCGTTTGACATTGTCGTTGGTCGTTATTGTAGAAAGCTTTGTGTCGTCGAGATTGAGTTGGAGAGCTGGTCTTGTGGTTATATAGTCATCGCCGTAGATTTTTTGGAAAAAGCTGTTTAGTTCATCATTCTACCATTGATGGGAAATAGTTATGTTATATATTTAGACAGTAAATTTAGTATATAATCATTTCATATGCAATGTGTCATTACATTACCATACGCCAATTATCTCTCAGCTGAATAGTGCATGGGCCGAAATCATGCTTCTGACCCTTCTTTAAGAAAAAATCGTCTTCATTAAAAACTGATCCATCTTCTCGCCGCATCAAACATTGTTGAATAGATCCAAATATGAGCGGATGATCCTCGGGGAATACAGGATACGTATTCTGAATAATCGGTCCCAATTGCATATGATCTCCAGCCACGACCAATTGACCCGTCTTGGGATTCAAACATTCGAGTACGATGCTCGCGTCGGAAACTAGTAACTATGAGATTGAGAAAAAGAGAATTTGACAATCACCAGATGATGCAAAAAAACTCGTACACGATAAGCAAAATAACATTACCTGTGATCCTTCATCTATGATCATCATATCTATCCCATCCCACGACGACTTCTTCAATTCTTTCCTGACTTTATACCAATCCCATACAGTTCCACCGACAACTACAGCTTGTCCTCCTGGAGCTAACTGCCCACTCTTTATTTTCTTTGCCAATGAATCAGCAACATATTCTTTAATATCGCTTTCTTGATTCGCCTCCTTCCCCATTGATGCAATTTCGAACTCTCCCGTTTTATCATGTAATTTTTGAATACTCAGAATACGTAAAAGAAGGTTATCGATTGCCGCTCGTGTAAATGCCGTTACCCCAATAACAAAATTTTTGCTTCTTCTTGATGGTTGTGGTTTCACTGTCGTTAAATACCATGTGGTGAAGAGAGCAAGGAAGTGTGTTTTACCAGAGCCCTGGAAACAACAATAAAAAAGGAACAAATTTGTGTGAGATGGCAACGAAATACACAATAAACAATGGTAAATCAAATCGGGAAATTCACATCTCATCAAACTTACAGGCGGTCCCCAGACTATTTGTAATCGTCTGTCTAGCAGAGACGCGGAAATTTCCTTCTGCGATGGAGACATTTTAAACGAATCGCGGAGTTTAAGAGCGGTAGCTTTAAGTTCTTTGTAATCCTGCTCGTGTAATTTTTGCAATCCCCATTTATTAGGATCATGTATTGCATCCTAATGTCAAAATAACGAAAATACATAAACAAATTTAGTGCAACAATAACTTGCAAATTGGGAAAAAAAAATCAAGATGCTCAAAATAAAACAATTGCTATAATGAAACCGTAATCTGTATACATGAGATGCTCTGGCATAGACTTTGACTTTGGGTATGGTTGCGGCGCTCTAATCTCCGTATAACAAAGAAAAAATATCTCACCAGAAAGACAGACTTATTATCGGGACGCTCATCAATCTCACTCATCAAGGAAGTGACTTTCTCAACATTGAAATCAACGTAACGTTTGTACAAGCGATAAGTCTTCGAACCCTTTCCAATATTGCCAATAAATTTTCCTTTCAAACACACAGCTCTTCTCTGGGAGTCCCGGTTGTCTATTTCAAAGAGACTGACAACTGACACGGGAAATCCAGCAAACTTGGTACGCCATACCATATCCGGAAACCTTATTGCTTGCAAAACTCCCTGTTCGTCATGTATTCGAAAATAAAGTCAGAAGAACTGCAGTTCACATAATCAACTACTAAATACAATATTACCTCATCTGAATCATCGACCAAAATGTACTCCTTCAGATGACTGGGCTCCAATATGCTGAATTCTTTCCCACCGCTAATCAGAATAAATCTGGCCACCCACTCCTCGTTAACTTTCGTAACAAATTTTTCAAATTCCAATACAACCGCCGACACAGCTCCTCTTTGAACAAGATCATTGAACCTACTGGCTCGTATTTTCGCACACCCGGTCACTGCTTCGAATTGCTTGAAGAAATACAGTTTACCTAAGTAGTTATTACTAAACGACTTAATCTGAGTAAATGAGAAGGGTGGGGGTGAGGCTATTAATATGAAAGCAATGTCCGGAGTATAGCCTCTCAATAAATCATAATACGCGTGAATAACTGCATTGGTGAAATGATTTCGCAATAAGTGGAGATCATTGGTGTTGTTTATGTCGTTTTCAACAACCCACAATTCGTATAATCCATCCAAATCAATCATATACAAATTTTCGTTGATTTCATTCTTAAGTGCTTCATCTTTCATTAGTGGATAAACCATCCTCTTCCATACATCTTTTAATCGATAGAAACCTGGCACATCCATTGCTATATTCGTTTTAATGGCTTGTTCAAGCACCACAATCCGAGGAAACTCTCGCCAATCGTCAGGCAGTTCTGTCACGTCCGCATCCGTATCATTACTAGCCATAAGAAGCGACGTGTCTTCGAATAAATTGAACAGACATCTACTTGCCATGTGCTGGGTTGTAGGCGAAACTGAACTTTCTTCCATAGAAATAATAGAAAGAAGTGCATCCTGAATGGTATTTTTTTCTGATTCAGAATATACAAAGACACAGGCACGAGACTTCACACGTGCTAGGTACTCAAACGCCTTATCTAACACCGTGACAAATTTCTCCATCAATGCAACAAAAGTCTCTTCAGTTTCATCTTCTTTCTTAATAGAACCGGCGTGCTTGTGACGCTTTTCTATTGACCCATCACTTTTATACAAGCAAATAGCCCATCCAAATGGCCTGGATACAAATGAATCCAGTGATATACTGATTACAAGGTTATGATCGGTAGCTTGTGGGAATGTTGCGGTAGGTGTTCCGATAAACTTTTCGTGATAATAATATGTTTATTAGCAACGCGTCAAAATGATAGAATAAAAGTTTTATAATACCTGTGCTTTCTTCGACGATAACGCGTCCATGTAAGGAGATCGTCCGGATTTTTTATCGTATTTAATAATGTCCTGCACGCGCCTACTCATAAGGTCCTCATCTCGGTCATTTTTATCCTTAATGTTTAGATCATCGAACCATTTGACAAGATCCTCAATCTGTGGCTCATTATATACACTAGGTATGGTTTCGTTGACATTGCCTTTATTCGATTCATCCTCTTCGTTGGCAAAATCTTGTACAAAACTTTTTAGATCAATAGCCTTGTCAACGGAGAGATATGGTATCGTTGATATAGTATTTTTAGCATCGCTACGACATGTATTTACAAATTCGCAATTCCTGCACCGGTTGTTATAATGCCATGATACAGTAGTCGCCGACATTATACGCGGAAGTTCAACGCTGAAGAAGCGTTCTATCTTGGGCAAGAGAAAATCCATACGAAATGTCTGTAGCTGGAATGGCGGGAGATATATTCCACCAGTACGCGATATTGAAATGTTTCTCATTCTGCTGATAATGTAATCTATAAAGTACGCATACGAGGCCACTTGAAACTACACGACAGATTGAGATAAAACTGATGTTAAAACAAATTTAAATAGTATATTCGGAATAAATTATATCGCACACCTGATGGGCCACTCTAGCGGCTTTCGAAGCCTTCGCATCTATTATCATTAGCACCTTCTCTCCGTTCTCCTCTTTGACCTCTATGAAATCAGGTATAATGGCGCGCAATCTAACATTCTGAATACCCATCTTCTCATAAAACTTCTCAGGTATTTCAAATTTCAATTGGTAAAGTACCTCTCCAACTGCGGCTTTTTTCAACACACGCTTTGCCTCAGATGGTTCAATGTTCTGACAATCTTTTACATTTTTCAATTTGTTTTTGATCTGTTCCTCGAATTCCATTCCTCGATGACGAAGTGCATCGTTAAGAGTCGTGTCGAGGTTGACTTTTGATAGTTTCTTCTTCTTTTCATGCGCCGGTCTGTTATTTGCTGTCTGGTGAAGCAATTTGTCGCAATTAAACTGATAATATTTCGCCAGATCGCTGACCGCTATTCTGACATTGTGAGAAGAGGTGGCTTGGGAACCGGACTGGTTTATTGATGGACAAGAGATCGATGAGTGATCAGATCAGAATAGATCGCGCAAGACAGCTATTTAACTAAATCGGAATCGCGATAGGCAAGGATAACAACAACGGTCGCAAACCTGATCCATAACTACGCAGAATAAAGAAGTGTAAATTGTTATGTATGCTAGATATAGTAGCAGTTTGTTTTAACGATCACATGTCTGCTGATCCCATTCGTTTGATTGGATGCCACGTCGGAATTTATCTCGGCGGTGTAATACTTCACTAATATCAATGATAATAAGAGATCGATTTTCAAATCAATCAATCTTGTTTTTATCGCTATTCTTTAATAATAGGTTCTAACATTGATCAAGCAATTCTTTCAAGGTAACCTTGTTGTATATTCTTTTATTCATGGTTATGCAAGTATAATGGATAGTACTGACGACGCGTTTTATATGTCTGTGACGGCAAACCTTTTTAAAGAGAGAGATATTCTTTGCGTCCAGAATAGATATGAATAGAAATTGACAAGTTTATGCCGGCAAGCAGGAACAGATAGCAATTACGGCAAAAAGGCGCGCAACTTGACAACGGAGGTTCAGATTAATATTTCATTGTAACGTTCAAAATTTGGTAATCCGACGAAAGATTCGGAAAATTGATACCAGCCATAGCCCAAAACGTTTTTGGTATCATTACTATCGATTGAGATCTTGGCTCTCCCGTTAACGTTAACCCCGCGAACTTTCAAAGCAACGGCAAATATCAAAATAGAAGATTGAGAATATCGTGCATGTCTAACAAATGACGATCATAGATATGAATTTACAAATATAAATAGTAAAGACCGAATAAGCGACTACATCCAGTATTATTACCTGCTATCTATGGGAATAAAGATTCTGCATTAACATTAATCAATCATTATGACTGCTAAATGCTTATCACTACGAATATAATCTAAATGTCATTGAGTGCAATCCTGTCTTTCATAGCAATGGACCAAATAATTAATTTTGCTCTCTGCCAACTATGATGGCAATGCAAATAGACGCTCAATTTCCCTAACTAGTCCGTCAATGAATGCTTGGTCTGTGCATTTTAATTCTATCTTCAAATTGGCTTTGACTTCCCCAGTATCCTCAGATTCTTCTCTTGTTATCGCGAGTTTAGTCAATCCGGCTACTTGATAACCTTGGACACTCCTTCCATAAATTGAAACCGCACCGGGAACTTTCTCGACAACGTGTGTTCCCGTAGCAACCGTAGTAATTTGGGCGATTGCGTTATCAAATTCTTGCTCAACGGACGACGATGAAGCGGTGAGATTGACCGAAGTTGATCCGCTGAAAGGGAAATTTTCTGATTTGTATAGAAATGCTGTGAACTGCGCCGGGGTAATGGCAGGTATATGGAGCATAAAAGTTGCGACTGGTATCTCAAATGCAAAAGGTATTTCTGCATTCGAACCCTCTGAAGCGCTGGAACCATCCGTAGGCTGTATGCAAACGACAAGAATAAAGGTATTGTTGTTATGTTACTATTATGACAAGAACACCTTAAATGAATGACTATAGACAGCACGCTTACCAAATTGTTCTCCCAAGTCACCCGTCCATTCACAGTTAACCTAGCGCCAACAATACCTAACACTCTAAACTTGACTGCAACTTCCCTTCGTTCACCAGCTTTTAACACTCCATCTACATGGAGCAAAGTGTTGTCAAACTGTATATCGGATGAAGGCTCAAATCTCAAAGCAAGCTCCGAATAAAATTGATCGTCAGACACTGTCTTGTTCTCTATAAGGAATGAAGCAGCAACTGTTGGAGGTTCATTTCTTAATTCTTCATTAGACGTTAAGCTGAGGGCGTATGTCTACAACATAACGTCAATAGGCGGTTATCTATCTCATTCTTACAAATAATTTGAATCATCTCGGCAACTTACTATGTATAAAGTATCCCCAGAAATGAGGGTATAGATATTTTGCTTCACCGGCTGCACGGATTGTTGATTTACATGGCTTCCTCCATTTTCAATCCCAGGACTGGCGAAAGAAACAGATTTGGCTTTGTTTTCTGCAGTCTTTTTCTTCTTTTCCTTAACACCTTTCTTATTTTTAATGCCCTTATTTTCCTTCTCTTTTCTGGCTTTTCCTGCAGACGGTTTCGCGCGTTCACCAGCATCTACTTCCCCTTTCGTCTTTTTTGCAGACGTTGATTTCTTCTTTGCCGTCACTGCCGATGACTCGGATGCATTTGATGGTTTCTTAGATTTTACTTTTGATCTCCTTTTCTTAGACTCTAACTTCACATCGTCATCCTAAGCATCATTTCTGTGAGCCAAAGTAAGGGAAGGGAAGAATTAACAATGCTAGCAACCAACCTTAACCTTTGTGGAACGATCGCTCGTAATTGCGCTTTTATTTCTTTGTTCTTTCAATCTCAGTCTATTCCGCTCTTCCTCCCTTTTCCTTAAT